ACTGCACCTCGCGCTCACATGTCCGAAACACGAGCTTGTTTTGATGCTCTCGGCGCCTCCGTCACACAAAGTCAAGCAAAACAATGAAACTTTTGTATTAAAGCGGCAAAACACGGATTCTCAAACTAAACTGTGCTGAGAGGAAAGTGAGTTTACGACACTAACAAATTAATGATAATAAAAATCATTATTTCTTTAGACAAAACAATGTGATTTTCATTAAACTGTAGTATTTTCTTTTCTATCCATGTTTAATCCCTCAGTGGTTCAGGTTCCATAGTCGTTCTAGCCTTTGTGCTCTTATATTTATATTTATTGTGATTTTTAAACTGTTAATACTCGACTTTTTCTTCTTAAAATGCCTTGACAAGACTTAAACCAAATAATTAAGATTTAAAATGGCTTAGAACTGTTATTTTAGTGTTAAAACTGACTCTTACAGAATCAATTTTAACATTTTCTAATCTGTTCTAGAGTTAATTTAACATTTTTGGAAGTGTTAATGAAGTAACACTGGACCAAAGTTCCCATTTAACCCCAAAGTGAAGAGTTATATTAACATTTAAGATTAAATTATGTACAAAACCTTTACCTTAAACCAAAGAACTAAGATTTAAAAGTGCTTAGAACAGTAATTTCATGGCAAAAAGTGTTCAAATTTACTCCGACAGAATCAGTTTTAACATTTTCTCAGGGTTTATATGAGTCCAATCTGTTCTAGAGTTAATTTAACATTTTTGGAAATGTTAAATTAAGTAACACTGGACCAAAGTTCCTGTTTAACCCCGAAATCAAGAGTTATATTCATGTTTTGAGAGTAAACAGATAACACTTTGTAGAGTTATCCTGATTTAGCTAAACAACAAACAGAGGTGTTTTATTTTTACTAGAGCCCGGCCGATATATCGGTTGGGTGATTTTATCGGCCAATATGTTTGCTGATAGAGGCCGATATTTCACGTGGGCATGTTATACCTCGTTATAAATCTTAGACTCTCTTCTTTATGTTCATTTAATCCAATTTACAGACAGATAAATGTCCAAATATGTGGCTCTGCATCAGGATTTATCTGTGGAGTCATTTGTCTGTGTGTGTCGTACTGTCCCTGAACACACCACAGAGTCACGTCACTCACATGTGTTTGTTTACACCTGCAGACATAGATCCATGTGCAACACTGAGATTATTTTCTTTTTCGGACAATGGGTTTGAGTCTGGATTAAAAGGACATTTATTGGTGCAGACTTGTGATGTGGGAGGAGCCTGTGTGAGGCTGAGTGTTGATAATATGTCGACTCTGAAGCTAGTTTTGGTTCGTTCTGATTGGTTAGTGATTATCTGCTGTGTCTCCCGCACATAAACAGGCTGTTTTCTGTTGGTCTATTGTAAAGTGACTGTATTGTCCGTATATTTGTTACTGGACCTGCACTGATATGTAAATGAGCTGTGAATAGACGTGTGAATGATGAAATTTGTGCATATAATTAATTACCGCGGCGCGCAGCATTTACAGCTAAAGGCTAATAGCGATTGTTTCTTTACTAGCTAGTAGTGATGAGTCGGTCGAACGAAGCGGCTCTTGGAGTCGGCTCTTTGAAGCGAACGACGGGAGCCTGATCCTTATTGGGATTCGGAGTCGTGTTTTCTCTTTCTCTCACTTTTTTTCTCTTCACGTCGCGTGCAGACTCGTGGGAGTTTGACAGCAGCAGCGGCTAAAAACGAAACTTTCAAAAATATGCGTGTGCATAGGGTAAAAAAAAAAACGTGCCTATATATATATATATATATTATATATATATATATATATATAATATATATTATATATATATATATATATATATATATATATATATATATATATATGAGCATAAAATAAATAAACCAGGAGTCCTGTTTTACACATGGTTTAGATTTGTTTCAGTCCTGCTTCAGTTCTGGTTTAGACCTGGTTCAGTTCTGGTTTAGACCTGTCTTAGATCTGCTTTAGTCCTATGACATTATCATGTAAAGAGGCAGAATAACAATAAATGTTGTCTAAATAAACCCAGTTTAAAAACCACTGGAGCCAAACCAAAGTTTTTTTTAAATACTTCAAGACTTACAGTGAATTTTTACATCAGTAAATATACTGGCGATTATATCGGCAGCTCTAACTCCCATTATATCGATATCATATCGGCAACAACAAAATCCATATCGGTCGGGCTCTAATTTTTACACTTTATTTTAGTTAATTTAAGATGAAATTATGAACAAAACTGGTTCAAACTGGTCTTCTCTTGTGGGAGTTTGAAGTGGTGGTGGGAGGAGCCAAATTAACACTAAGGGAAGTTGAATTAACTTATATAACTCCAACTCGAACCCCCATTTAACTTTCAAATAGTAGTAAAAATAAAACTGAGGTGGTTCGGGCATCTGTTCTGATGCCTCCTGGGCGTCTCCCTCGGGAGGTGTTCATGTCCCACCGGGAGGAGGCCCTGGGGACGACCCAGGACACACTGGAGGGACAATGTCTCTGGGCTGCCCCCCCCCTGATTTTCCCAGTGTCTCCCGTCCAAGTCCTGCCCAGGCCCTGCCCTGCTGAACTTCTGAGATCTGATGAGCTCAGGCTTTGACAAGGTGGAATGGCAGTATGACCATATTGTGACACCTGAACTGTTGTCTGATTGTGGTACGAGGCCCAAATAATCGAGCCTGTCCAGTCTAATCTGCAGACGAGCGAGTACTGCCTCTAGTGGCGGAGTGTGAGAGTGCACGATAAAAAAAAAACAGATAACCATTCTTTTTTTTCAGTTTTTAATTCTCGTTTCTCAGATGTTTCTCATTTCTGTGACTTAAATTGCGATACTGGACTGAAAACAGGACTAAACCAGGACTGAACTAGGACTAAACCAGGACTAAGCCAGGACTTAACCAGGACTGAACCAGGACTAAAACAGGACCAAAACAGAACCAAAACAGGACTAAAACAGGACTAAAACAGAACTAAAACAGAACTAAACTGGTCTCAATCCTGGTCTCAGTCCTGATCTCAGTCCCGATCTGGTCCTGGTCTCAGTCCCGGTCTGGTCCCGGTCTCAGTTCTGGTCTGGTCTCAGTCTCACTCCTGATCACCCGACAGTCTTCGTGGGCGCACCTCCGGGCCCGTCCCGACACTCCTGGTTCAGTCCTGATGTAGCGCTGGTTTAGGACTGAGACTGGGACTAGACCGGGACCAGGACTTAGACCGGGACCAGGACTTAGACCGGGACAGAACTGACTGAAACTGGGACTGAGACTGAGACCGGGACCAAACCAAGCCAAACTGTAGACTAAAATACAAACATGTTTTTAATTTTTTCTGGTCTATTTTTTTTTTTTTTTAGTTTTTTTTGGGTGTTCATTCATGTGTCCTTACAATTACTGGGCTTGTTTATTGGAGAATGTTCTAAATATGTTTTTAATTTTAATCGTATAACCATATTGTGACACCTGAACTGTTGTGAGGCCCAAATAATCGAGCCTGTCCAGCCTCGTGTGCAGACGAGCGCGTGTACTGCCTCTAGTGGTGGAGTGTGGGAGTGCAGGTCAGGGTCAGGGCCGTTAGTGGACAGAGGAATGTCGGGTGCAGGGAGGTCAGATGGGTCCGGGGGGGGGGTGGGGGTGCGGGAGGGCAGCCGCTCAGGTCAGCCAGACTCGGGTCACACTGACCTGACGACTCGCCAGTGCATTGCTCAAGGGCCGAGTACAAGAAGAAATGCAGCCCACACGAAACTTTATTCATCCATGTGTCGTTCGTTCATTTGTTTTTCTAAATAAAACCCAAAAGTAAGAAAACGAAAAAAAAAAACAACTAATTTCTTCATTATTTGTCTCGAAAACTAAAATGAAAAAACAGATAATGATTCGTTTTTTTTCAGTTTTTGATTCTCGTTTCTTCGTTTCTTGTTTCTGTGACTTAAACTGTGTTGCCGGACGGACTAAACCAGGACTGAACCAGAACTAAACCAGGACTGAACCAGAACTAAAACAGAACTAAAACAGAACTAAACTGGTCTCAATCCTGGTCTCAGTCCTGATCTCAGTCCCGATCTGGTCCTGGTCTCAGTCCTGATTACCCGGGCCCGACACTCAGTCCTGGTTCAGTCCTGGTTTAGTCCTGGTTTAGGACTGAGACCGGGACCAGGACCAGGACTAAGACCAGGACAGGACTGAGATCGGGACCAGACCTGGACTGAGACTGAGATTGGGACCAGACTGGCACTGAGACCAGGACTGAGACCAGGACTGAGACCAGGACTGAGACTAGGACTGAGACCAGGACTGAGACTAGGACTGAGACCAGAACCAGACCGGGACTGAGACTGAGACTGGGACTAGACCAGGACTGAGACCAGGACTGAGACTAGGACTGAGACCGGAACTAGATCGGGACCAGGACCAGGACTGAGACCGGGATCAGACTGGGACTGAGCCTGAGACTGGGACCAGACCAGGACTGAGACCAGGACTGAGACCAGAATCAGCCCAACATTGAAACTGGGACTGAGACCGGGACCAGACCAGGATTGAGATCAGGACCAGACTGGGACCAGGACTGAGACCGGGACTGAGACTGGGCCTGAGACCGGGACGGGACTGAGACCAGGACCAGACCAGGACTGAGATTGGTTTAGTTGTGGGTTTATTCCTCCATGTTTGAGTAATTTAGTGATCTCTCCCTGGCCCTATTCAAACCCTCCTTGTGGTTAGCTGTAAAAATTCTGTGCAAGATCTCGTGAAACAAGATTATGCACCTTCTGAACAGATACTTTAATACTTTTACTTGAGTATTTATGTACTTTTTTGCTTCAGTATCTGGACTTTTACTTTACAAACAAACAAAACACAACTCCAGGTCTGTTTTTTGAGGCGGTAACAGCATTATGACCTGATTTAAACCTCAAGAGAAAACATTTTGCGTGATATAGGAGCTTTAATGTCTCGAAAACTGACAGAACGTTGTGTTTTTTTTCTCCAGACGTTTGCCGAAAGCACCATGAACGAGCTGCTGGGCTGGTACGGCTACGACAAAGTGGAGCTGCGCGAGTCCGAGGCCAACGAGATCCGCAACTACCGAGAGCGACGCCAGCATGTGTCTGTGCTAAAAGGTACAACAACGCACTCGTGATACGGGAAAGGGAGAGCGCGGACGTGAGTGCGCAGGTCTGTGGCTTCGTGCGCTTGGGCAAGACACTTTATTTACCTGTGAGACTCTGAGGTTCTGTTTGAGCTGTAGTCCTCAAGTCCTTAAATATAAATACACTGGCTACGTTTATGTGATGTTTTTTAATTCCGAATTAATTGTTCTGAATTAAAATATTCTACTTTGAGTTTACATCGAGATCATAATTCTGAATTGAGGTTTACATGGAAAAATGTATTTAACTTTATTTAATTCAGGTCAGCGTCTGGACATGGGGAAGGATTCTGATTGGACAGAGACACGAACACACTTCATCTGCTACCGGCTTTTTTTTTTTTTTTCAGGACAGAGGACAGGTGTGGAGGACACAGATATAGGACAGAGGACAGGCGTGAGGACAGGACAGGACACAGGACAGGTGTGGAGGACATAGACATGGGACAGGAGACAAGTGCGGAGGACATAGGACAGAGGACAGGTGTAGAGGACAGACGACAGGTGTGTAGGAAAGAGGACATATGACAAGTGTGTAGGACAGAGGACAGGTGTGTAGGACAGAGGACAGGTGTGTAGGACAGGTGTGTTAGGACATAGGAGGACAGGTGTAGGACAGGACGTAGGACAGGTGTGTAGGACAGTGGACAGATATAGGACATAGGACAGGTGTAGGACATAGGACAGATGTAGGACAGAGGACAGGTGTGTAGGACAGAGTGCAGAGGACAGGTGTAGGACAGAGGACGTAGGACAGGTGTAGGACAGAGGACATAGGACAGGTGTAGGACAGTAGGACAGGTGTAGGACAGGGGACGTAGGACAGGTGTAGGCCAGAGAACGTAGGACAGGTGTGGGACAGAGGACAGATGTAGGACAGTAGGACAGGTGTAGGACAGGTGTAGGACAAGGACGTGTAGGACAGGTGGTAGGACAGAGGACATAGGACAGGTGTAGGACATAGGACAGGTGTAGGACAGTAGGACAGGTGTGTAGGACAGTAGGACAGGTGTGTAGGACAGTAGGACAGGTGTAGGACAGAGGACAGGTGTAGGACAGGGGACGTAGGACAGGTGTAGGACAGAGAACATAGGACAGGTGTGTAGGACAGGTGTAGGACAGAGGACGTGTAGGACAGGTGTAGGACAGAGGACAGGTGTAGGACAGTGTAGGACAGAGGACGTAGGACAGGTGTAGGACAGAGGACGTGGGACAGGTGTGTAGGACAGGTGTAGGACAGAGGACGTAGGACAGGTGTAGGACAGAGGACGTAGGACAGGTGTAGGACAGAGGACGTAGGACAGGTGTAGGACAGAGGACAGGTGTAGGACAGGTGTAGGACAGAGGACAGGTGTAGGACAGAGGACAGGTGTAGGACAGGTGTAGGACAGGGTGAAGGACAGAGGACAGTGTGTAGGACAGTAGGACAGGTGTAGGACAGGTGTAGGACATAGGACAGGTGTGGGACAGGTTGTAGGACAGGTGTAGGACGTGTGACAGGTGTAGGACAGGTGTAGGACAGGTGTAGGACAGAGGACAGGTGTAGGACAGGTGTAGGACAGGTGTAGGACGTGGGACAGGTGTAGGACAGGTGTAGGACAGGTGTAGGACAGGTGTAGGACAGAGGACAGGTGTAGGTGTAGGACAGGACAGTGTAGGACAGGTGTAGGACAGGTGTAGGACAGGTAGTAGACAGGTGTAGGACAGAGGACAGGTGTAGGACAAGAGGACAGGTGTAGGACAGACAGTGAGGACAGGTGTGTAGGACAGGTGTAGGACAGGTGTAGGACAGGTGAGGACAGGACAGGTGTAGGACAGGTGTGTAGGACAGGTGTACAGGACAGAGGACAGTGTGTAGGACAGGTAGGACTAGGACAGTAGGACAGTGTGTTAGGACAGGTGTAGGACGTGGGACAGGTGTAGGACAGGTGTAGAACAGGTGTAGGACAGAGGACAGTGTAGGACAGGTGTAGGACAGGTGTAGGACAGGTGTAGGACAGGTGTAGGACAGGTGTAGGACAGGTGTAGGACAGGGGACAGGTGTAGGACAGGTGTAGGACAGGTGTAGGACAGGTGTAGGACAGAGGACAGGTGTAGGACAGGTGTAGGACAGGACAGGTGTAGGACAGGTGTAGGACAGGTGTAGGACAGAGGACAGGTGTAGGACAGGTGTAGGACAGGTGTAGGACAGGTGTAGGACAGAGGACAGGTGTAGGACAGGTGTAGGACAGGTGTAGGACAGGTGTAGTAGGACAGCGCGTCTTCTCTGGCTCGGTGAGTCAGAGTCTGGTTTTGCGTCGGCTCCTCGTGTTTCAGTCAAACACACAGACGCTTTTGTTTTTGTCAGAATCTGCGGAGGATCAGGTGACTCACAGCGCCGAGGCCGAGCTGCAGCACACACACACAGATACTGCACGCTCAGATCACGTATCGAAGTACAAGTATCACAGTACACGTATCGCAGTACACGTATCGCAGTACACGTATCGCAGTACTGTACATTCAGGTTAGAGCACTATAAGAGTTTCACATCCTCGTTCTGTTCGTGTCTGTGCCAACCACCTCCAGTAAACTCCACATGTGCACACACCAGAGGAGGGAGGAGGGAGGAGTGTCTTGCTCAAGGACACCGTGGTCAAACCATAGACTGCATAAAAAAGTGGACTAAGCGAGTGCAACGTCTCCCGCTGTGTGACCTAGTTCAGGTCTGAACTGGAAGCTGTCCTAAACCAAGTCTAGGTCTAACTGAGGTCTAAACCAGGTCTAAACCAGGTCTAAACCAGGTCTAAACCAGGTCTAACCATGATCAGAATCAGGACCTGGAATAAACCGAGTCAAAGTAAGATCTAAACTAGGTCTAACCAAGATCTAACCAAGGTCTAAACCAGGTCTAACCATGATCAGAATCAGGACCTGGATTAAACAAAGTCAAAGCCAGATCTAAACTAGGTCTAACCAAGGTCTAAACCAAGTCTAAACCAAGTCTAAACCAGGTCTAAACCAGGTCTAAACCAGGTCTAAACCAAGGTCCTTCAGTGACACCGAAACCATCCTGTCGGGATTCAGAAAGACCAAAATAATTCTAACTGGAACTGATGCTGAGTCTGACGACAGCGACACAGAAGAGGAAGGTCGAGGTCGAGTTGTTCAGAAGTGACACCGAGGATGAAGAACTGAATGGATTTAGTGATTTGGAGTGAGATGGAGAGTTTGTTAAACTTGTTCTGTTGTTTATGTTATAGTTTATCTGAAGAACTGTTCATATGTGACGTTAACAGTAGGGACGGGCATTCGATGAAATTTTCTTAATCGATCGTCGGAAGATTAACGATCGATTAATCATTAACGTTTTTATATTAAAATGATCATCATTATTATTACTATCTGCACTAATCTGCATAAATAAATTCAACTTTACGACATATAAACATAACGACTCTAGATCCACATCAGCTGTTTGACATTATAATGTGTTTAATTCAGTTTTGTTCAAATCTCACAGAAACAAAACTTAAAACCGCATCACTAATTTGCATAAACTCAGTGAAGATAAAACTCCAGCTCTTGTGTTGCTGATGTGGTTCAACTTGTGTTGGATTAAAAGACATGACTCAGGTGAATACAGGTCAGTGTGACCAGATTTGTGTTTGTCAAAACCAGGACAGCGTACGGGGGGAGGGGGGCGGGGCCTCGTCATCCACATTGAGCGACTCTCACCTGGTAAAACTTTTTCCCACTGGACACAGAAACATATGTGCTGCTTTATACACTGTGCACATGGACTCACACTTGTCCCAACGCAACGGAAAGTGTGGAATTTCTTGTACAAATCATCGTTAAATCCACATTTGTGCTTCGGTTCGTTACAGACTGACCCACTGTTTGTGTCTCGCTCCTTCTGATGCAGAGACACATGTACACACCTGTTTGGTCACGATACACACAGCAACATACATTCGGTTTGTCGATTAAAATGAACGTAATCGATGGAATTCTTAATGATCAATTATCGATTAATCGATTAATCATGCCCATCCCTAGTTAACAGTATGTTGTTTTTTCTTCTATTGTTTTTACTACAACTTGACTTTACACAGGAAATGTCGGTTCCTGGTTTCTGATTTTATAAAATACATTTCCCCCAAAAAGTCTGACTCATATATGTTTGTTTTTTCTTCTTCATTACACATTTTTTGGCTGGTGCGACTTAGACTCTGAAAAATACGTTACTTGTGAGACTTGTGAGGTTGGAGCAGGTGTGTTCTCTGGTTTTCTTGGTCTTTATGAAAACGTCTCATGTCCTCCGTGTCTCTGTCTTCAGCGTTTCTTGAAGTGAAGGATTTAAAGTCGCTCACTCGCTGTCCCTGTGCCTCGTGCGTTTCAGAAAACTCGCTGCCAAAACCCAAAGAGTCCAAAGTGTGTGTCCCGTCTGTGCTGTCCATCAAGCCCGTGGACAGAGACATGTCCAGCAGAGACGTGTCCACCAGGGATGCGGCCAACAGAGACGTGGCCAACAGAGACGTGAACAACAGGGACGTGTCCAGTAGAGAGGCGTCCAGCAGAGACATGTCCAGTGTCCCCGCGTCCTCTCCGTCCTCCTCCACCAGCTCCACCCTCAGCACCCCCAAAGAGCTGAAGAGCGCCCCCGTCATCGTGCCGCTCATAAAACCCTCTGCAGGTACGACTCCGTAACGAGTTGTTCCTCTTTTTGTTCAGGACGTTTAAATGTTTTTATTCTAGTTTGTGTCTCGTCAGGACAGAATCCTCGTCCTCTAAACTGAGCTGGAGACAGAGCACAATTCTACCAGGGAGTTATGGTGTTTGAAAGTGTCTCACGTGTCCCTCTCTGTCCACAGTGGAGGACAAAGCGGTGGTCCACATCATGTTTGTCTGGTGTCTCATATGTCTCTCTGTCCTTATGTCCACAGTGAAGGACACAGCAGCAGACTGCATTGTGTTTCAGGTGGTGTCTCATATGTCTCACACGTCCCTCTCTGCCTCTGTCCACAGTAAAAGACACTGCAGAGGTCAACTTCATGTGTGTGTAGTGTCTCTTATGTCTCACATGTCCCTCTCTGTCCACAGTGGAGGACATGGCCGCGGTCCACATCGTGTGTGTGTGTTTGTGTGTAATGTCTCATATGTCTCACATGTCCCTCCGTGTCCCTCTGTCCACAGTGTAGGACACGGTGGCGGTCCACATCGTGTGTGTAATGTCTCGTATGTCTCACATGTCCCTCTCTGCCTCTCTGTCCACAGTGGAGGACACAGTGGCGGTCCACTTCTTGTGTTGGTGGTGTCTCATATGTCTCGCATGTCCCTCTCTGTCCACAGAAGACACTGCAGCGGTCCACTATATGTGTGTAATGTCTTATATGTCTCACATGTCCCTCTGTGTCCATAGTGGTGGACACGACGGCCGTCCACATCATGTTTGTAGTGTCTTTTAAGTCTCACGTGTCCCTCTATGTCCCTCTGTCCACAGTGGAGGACATGGCGGCGGTCCACATCGTGTGTGTGTGTGTGTGCAGTGTCTTATATGTCTCACATGTCCTCTGTGTCTCTCTGTCCACAGTGGAGGACACGGCGGCCGTCCACATCATGTTTGTAGTGTCTTTTATGTCTCACATGTCCCTCTGTGTCTGTCTGTCCACAGTGGAGGACACGGCGGCCGTCCACATCATGTTTGTAGTGTCTCATATGTCTCACATGTCCCTCTCTGTCCACAGAAGACACTGCAGCGGTCCACTATATGTGTGTAATGTCTTATATGTCTCACATGTCCCTCTGTGTCCCTCTGTCCACAGTGGAGGACACGGCGGCCGTCCACATCGTGTGTGTGTGGTGTCAGAAGGAGGGGGTGAAGAGGTATTCTCTGTGTATGGGCTCAGAGCTCAAGAGCTTCTGCAGTGAGAAATGTTTCGCCGCCTGCAGAAGAGCCTACTTCAAAAGAAACAAGGTCAGAACACAAGTACAAGTACAAGTACAAGTACAAGTACACACAGGACACAACACTCTACAAGTACAAGTACAAAAACCTACTTCAAACACAACCCACACAAGTACCAGGACACACAAGAGCGCTTCTGTACTCTCAGAAATACTCCCTGTGGACGGAGGTGTCTAAACATGTGCAGCAAAATAATAACAGGAGCCGGTTAAATTAGAGGCTTATTGTTGTTCTTCCTTTTTCTGAGACGAGCTGCTGCACATAAACACAGACAAACACTCTGAATTAGTACGATTCTATAAAATTATATTATTATGTGTCAGGCAAAGGTCAAAAGTACCAGAGTTGTGATGAGTTTTGATGGACAAACTGATGAACTAGAGAAAAACAAATGGTGTTTTATAAGAAAAAGAGAAAGAAAAGGACTGAGGGACGGATGAGGAAGGACAGGGACCAGATGAAGCTGAGGATGTGTGAAAGATGAGGCCCTGATGGGGAATGGATGAGGAAAAGATTAGGACAAAATGAGGACTCGATGTAGACCTATGAAGACCATATGAGGACCAGAGAGGAGGACTGTGTGAAAACCTTATGAGGACACTATGACGACCTTATGAGGACTAGATGAGGACCATATGAAGACTGTATGAGGACTGTATGAGGACCAGAGGAGGACCATATGAAGAACTTAGGAGGACGAGATGATGACTAGATAAGGACTGTATGAGGACCAGATGAGGACTAGATGAGGACCGTATGAGGACTGTATGAAGACCATATGAGGACTGTTTTAAGGCCATATCAGGACCGGATGAGGACTGTATGAGGACCATATGAACACCTTATGAGGACTAGATGAGGACCATATGAGGACTGTATGAAGACCTTATGAGGCCCATATGAAGACGGGATGAAGCCTAGATGAGGACTGTATGAGAACTAGATGAGGACTGTATGAAGACCTTATGAGGACTAGAAGAGGACTGTATGAGGACCGTATGAAGACCTTATGAGGACCATATGAAGACCGGATGAGGACTGTATGAAGACCGTGTGAAGACCACACGAGGACCATATGAGGACTAGATGAGGACCGTATGAGGACTAGATGAGGACCGTATGAGGACTGTATGAAGACCTTATGAGGACTAGAAGAGGACTGTATGAAGACCTTATGAGGACCATATGAAGACCGGATGAGGACTGTATGAAGACCGTATGAAGATCTTATGAGGACCATATGAAGACCGGATGAGGACTGTATGAGGACCGTATGAAGACCTTATGAGGACCATATGAAGACCGGATGAGGACTGTATGAAGACCGTATGAAGATCTTATGAGGACTGTATGAGGACTCTGTGAGGACTAGAGGAGGACCGGATGAGCACCAGATGGGTCTGACATGTCTGTTAAAGTGATCTGGAGTGTTTAAAGGGCCGGTGACAGGTTTTGGGCTCCTGTTACACTCTCGTGTTTATACCACAGACGCTTTATTCCCTCACAAAGAGAAGAGGCGCTAAAAGGCCACGCACCACGGAGTCACTTTTCACTCCAGGAACAGCAACCAGGAAAGATTTAACAACTTAAAACCAGCCAGAACCTGGAATAAAACATATAAACTAACTGCTAATTATCTCCACATCAGATTTTTTTATTTATTTATTTTTTTAAGTCAGATGTCCTTCTAAACGATGTGATTGGACAAAACAACGCCGAGGACTTAACCAGTACTTAAAAGCGACAGTAGCTCAGTTGGTAGAGCGTTTGTCCACTGACCCACAGGTTGGCGGTGGATTCCAGCTCTCACAGATGAATCTTGTTGTTGTGTCCTTGGGCAAGACACTTAACCCACCTCACCCCCAGTGTCTGCGTACACAGGGGTATGAATTTGTGTCTGAATGGGTGAGTGGTTCCTTGTTGTAAATCAGTCACACACTCACTCACTCTTGACTCTATGACACATAATAAAACAAATTTGAAAGAAAAAAAAAAAATAATAATAATAATAATAACAAATAAAAATAAATAATAATAATAATAATAATAATAATAATAATAATAATAATAATAAATAATAAATAAAATAGATTTCAAAGATAATCACAGAATACAACAAGATGAACAACAAAATTATCAAAAAACAATTACACGGGTTCTGTAAATATTGAACCAGAGCATTTTTAAATGAAGGGACAGAAGTTAAAGCACGAATCGATGAGGGAAGATTGTTCCAATCAGAAGGAGCTTTATATTTAAATGAGTGTTTTCCTATTTGTTTTTTGACTCTTGGGACCACAAAAAAGATCTGATCTGCGTGACGTAAACTGTAAGAGGATCTGAACGGAATTAAATACTGTTTAAGATATTCAGGAAAACTGAGATTAATACATTTAAAGATAAATAATAACCAGTGAAGTTGACGTCGGGAGAAAACTTGTAGGTCGCTTCACTCTTCTGTCCAGTTCATCCCAAACCAGCTCGATGGGGTTGAAGTTTTCAAGTTTTTGTTCTTTTTTCCTGAGGTAGTTTTGGCAGAGCTTGGACTTATGTTTTGTATATTTTATCTATTTTTTAACCTCTGGCTCTTCAGTTCTTATCTTTGTACCATTTCAAGCTCTTCGTTGGACTTTGCACGACTCCAATTGCAATAAATAACTGGAAAATCAAACTGGTCCAAAATAGAGACACCTGGGACATTCCTTGTACAAAACTGGGACAAATCTGCAGATCATTTTGGATAAATCCGCTGGGGAAGGGGACACGGGGGAGGGGGGCTCAAAACCGGGACTGTCCCGGGTAAATACGGACGTCGGGTCACCCTACCTAAATTTATAACTCTGTGACTCTGACTGTGTTGCCAGCACCAAGTTAAAAACAAGAGGCCGTGTCTGTGGTTTAGAGCGTTTAGAGCGTTTAGAGCGTTTAGAGGGTTTAGAGGGTTTAGAGCGCCTGGGCACGTCATCAACCACAGCAGTAAGTGAGAGATACACTCTGGTAACCCCACACTGTTACTATATTATTTACGTGTTATTTTGATTTAACGGTCTCTGGTTTGATGAATGAGGAAGAAAAAAAAAAAAGGAAATCAGATGTGAAGTTACTGTTTGATCTGAAAGTGACATTTATGGAGTAAGAAGAAATATTTGTGTGCGTAGGATAGAAATCTGTGCGTATTTGTCTGTAGTTGAGCATAAAGTAAATATTCGTAAACTCTCGATTGAGTCCAGGCGACGTCAACAATTACAATCACGAAATGAAAATTTACAACTACGGTTTCTTCAGTACGAATATGAATTCACAGAAGTACAAAAATACATCATCACTTCACAGGCAGAAGAAACATCGATTGAGATGCTGGACTTTTGAGCCGCATATGGACTGATTCCAGGTCTGAACCAGGACTAAAACCTGGTTCAGTCCATATGCAGCGCAGAAGTCCGGCTTCTTTTAATCCATGTGTCATTCATTCATTTGTTTTTCAAAATAAAACCAAAAATAAGAAAATGAAAAAATAACAATTTTTTTTGTCTTCAAACCCAAAATGAAAAAAAACGATAACGGCCGTTTCCTGTTTCCTGTTTCTGTGACTTAAACTGCAATGCCAGGACCAGACCGGGACTGAAACCAGGACCAGACCGGGACCAGACTGGGACCGGATCATGATTGAGACTGTGACTGAGACCGGGACCAGACCGGGAACAGTTTGGTTCTGGTTTAGTCCTGTTTTAGTCCCGGTCTCAGTCCTGGTTCTGGTCCCAGCCTCAGTCCCGGTCTCAGTCCTGGTCTCAGTCCTGGTCCTTTCCTGGTCTTATTCCTAGTCTCAGTTCTGGTCTCAGTCCCTGTTTCAGTCCTGGTCCCGGTCTGGTTCCAGTCTGGTCTTGGACCGGTTTTAGTCCTGGTTTAGTTCTGGTTCAGTCCGGCATCACAGTTTAAGTCATGTAAACTGGAAACGGCCGTTTACGGTCGAAAAAATTTATTATTATCTGTTTTTTTCATTTTGGTTTTGGAGACAAATAATTAAGAAAATAGTTTTTGTTTTTTTTTGTTTTCTTATTTTTAGTTTTATTTTGAAAAACAAATGAACGAATGACACACAGATTCATAGACATCGCTCGCTTAACAATCCCATCACGAAAGGGTATAGACGTTAAAAACACAGAGGAGAACTTTTAATCTGTGTATCATTCGTTCGTTCATTTTTCAATATAAAACCAAAAATAAGAAAACAAAAAACAACTATTTTCTTCATTATTTGTCTCCAAAACCGAAATGAAAAAATGTATAACGGCCGTTTCCCGTTTTCCGTTTCTGTGACTTAAACTGCGATGCCTGGACTGAACCAGGACTAAAACAGGTCCTGGGACCGGTCTGGGACCAGACCGGAACCAGACCGGCTTAGACTGGGACCACACTGGGACTGAGACCCGAACCAGACCAGGACTGAAAACGGTTTAATCCTGTTTTAGTCCTGGTCTCAGTCCTAGTCCTGTTCCTGGTCTCATTCCTGGTCTCAGTTCTGGTCCTGGTCCAGGTCTCAATCCCGGTCTCAGTCCTGGTCCTGGTCCCGGTCTGGTTCTGGTCTGGTCACGGACCCATTTTAGTCCTGGTTTAGTCCTGGTTCAGTCCTGGTTCAGTCCAGCATGGCAGTTTAAGTCATGTTATCCGTTTTTTTTTTTTTTTTTTTTTTTTTTTTCATTTTTCATTTAAACACAAAATCAAAAACTGAAAAAACAAATCATTATGTTTTTTTTTTTCATTTTAGTTTTGGAGACAAATAATGAAGAAAATTGTTGTTTTTTAATTTTTTTAATTTTTATTTTTATATTGAAAAAAAAAATGAACGAATAACACACGGATTCACAGACATCGCTCGCTTAACAATCCCATGGCGAAAGAGTTCAGACTTTAAAAACACAGAGAAGAACCTTTGAACACCGCCAGCTCCAGTCCAAAAACCCTGAAACATCCTCCATTCTCTTCACTAATCCGCCGGAGCTCCGCAGTCC